TCCTGACTTGTTTTGGTAGCACGGAAGGACTCTTTGATTCAGGGTCGGGTTTTTCTACCTTGCTGCTAGTAGATGGATGAGAAGGGGTCTAGACCAGTCACGGTAATCTCAGTTTTCTTGGCCATCAATTGACCTGAAGAGACTGGGGTGAACAGGCTAATGAAGGCTCATGACGAGGAGGGCTTCTGCCCCTTGGCTCTCCTGTACGAATGTGCACACAATGCTGAAGCTAGCCGCCATCTAACTCTTAGATCAGGACTGGCATTCGTAGTGAAACCTCACTTAGCTACCGTCACTAACAGCGCTATCTTTAGTATATGAAGAAATACCGTTATTTCTCTCAGTTCCAGTACGCTAGTAATTCACTCACTTGGAACATTTATATTGAAGTACTCTGTGCTAGAGTGCTATCAGTGCCACCTCTCTCTCTGTATATGGTTCGTTATTCAGTTTAGAAAGCACTTTTGGGGACCAGCAGTTGGTGTAATGGCTATGTTGCTGGACTTCCATGTAGTTGACCACGGTTCGAATCCCAGACCCGGTGGCTTAAACTCACGCTGGGCGCATGTACGTGCGTGCCAAAGATCCCAAGAGGAGAATGGAGGAGAAGGGATTGCGGCATGGTCATCCCCCTGGGGAGCAATTTCTCGCTTTCTATCTCTCTGTCTCTCTCTGTCTTTCTGGTGAGCTCACACACCCTATAGCAAAAACCTCTCCAAAAAAAAGAGAAGAAAGCACTTTGGCTCAGCATGGGTGGTGCAGGCAGTAACGTACCGATCTGCCGTATTGGAAGCTGCACGGCTGAACATAGGTTCGGAGTCTGAGTTAACCTGAAACATGCCAGCTGTGTGTGTGTGAAAAAAATACAGTTAAAAATAAAATGTTTTCACAGCCCTAGAGGCCAGGAATTGAGTCAGTACGGAGAGCAGAATCAGATCGTGCTGATGCGATATGCTTACCCCCTTCCACTAAGTGTGTGTTCGTGTGGTCTGTGTGTGCACATACGTTTTCATTTGTTTCGTATTACTGTCATGTGTTTACATCGTTACATGCATGCATGCATCTATGTTATTGCTTGCATCTTATTAAAATTTCCTGGTTGGGGATCTTGACTCCCCCATCATATTATTGTCATTATCAGTTTTAGTGTTCCTAGCAATAGCAAACTGAGGAATTAATTTGATGTGCTGCTTTCCCTGTTAGTAAGAGAAAAGGAGTGGCTCCGTCCCTGTGCCTTCGGAGCTGTGCTTGTACCACTGCGGTGAGCCACCGGCTTCCGGTCGTCACTCGGGAATGGTTTAAGTAAGCAATTCCACCTGTGTTTGCTGAGCAGCACTCACCTGAATACCTCCAGTGCCCTTCAGAGAAAGGAGAGAGTAATGCGCCCAGCACTCAGTCATAGGGGCTCGCCACAGTGAGAGGTAAACACGCATCAATAATGAAATATAACACAGGGTCCGGGGGAAGTACGAGAGGAAAAGGGCAGACGGGAGACCAGAGAGAGCCGAGAATCATGCTCCGTGTGGAGGGACTGAGGCGTTGGAATACCCAGGATCCATCAGCATTTGGGTATTTCACCTGAACTGAGAACTGTGGAATAATATGCGGTGACAAATGCCTCTTCCCTTTGTGGCTGAGCAGCCAGCAAACCCTCCTGATGAGACTGGGGTGACACCAACCAGGTCAGATCCCTCACACCAATGCAAAAGGACTGTCTCAACAGTGGCATTTGCTTGGGATGGCTCTTGCACCAACCAGCTCATCTGCCGGGGCTCGCCAGCCTTCGGGGTCGAGGTTCGGGTGAGACTGTCTGCATGTGTGTTTGCTGGAAGAAGGTCGACTTTCTCAGGAATGGGGAAAAGCCGAATTAGCTCGCACTTAGAAAGTGTCTTTAGATTCTTGGCTCGAGAAGTAGTCGGGGGTGCATTTATACAATGCTGTTTCTTTTCCTATGGCACAAAGACATGACAGGAGGAGGAGGAGGAGGGGTGATCAGAAAGCAAACTCGTGCCCAGGACTTCAAACCAGCCCCTTTGAGTTATCCAAATGTACAACGGGCACCCCCACCCCAAGTTACGAGCAGCTGAATTGAATTAAAAAAACAGTCCCTCCGTTGCTGCAACCTGGCCTGCCAAATTCTCAGCTGGCCTGGGTTTTTATAGCTCCGTTATAAACCCCTGAAAAGTGAGGCATATAATGGAAACATTGACATAACCTGAACGCGGAGGAGCGGCTTGTGCCACTAATTACCCTTACGTCTCATTGGCCCGCCGCGTTCCCTCTGCTGGCAGAACCTCTGCGTGGCTCTGCCCGACGGTCCCGGGGGCTGGAGATTTGAAGCTGAGGTCTGCTGGGGAATAATGAGATAGTGTCTGCTTGTGGGAAGCCCCCTGTTCCATACATACTCGCCCCTCCCTCTTGCCTGCCTTCCCTTGTTCTCCCCCTGCACCACCTCCCCCAGCCCCCTCCCCCCCAAAAAGGCAGAACAGTTCAGTTGGTTGTAAAAATTAATGAGTTCAGATACAGACTTGCCTTATTCCGGTCCAGCTGCGTAACCAGGGCGATTCCGACCAGCATTCTAGACGCTGACATCAGCTCCACACCCGGTACAATGCTGCTCTGTTTGATCTCAGAAACAGATCAGGCTCCTGGGCTTTATACATCCTGCTTCCTCCCTACGTAAACTCATTTTACGACCCGCCAGGAGAGCGCATCTCACATGCTCTCTCCCCGGCAGCCGACCCCAGAGGATCAGGCCTGCAGCTGACTTCTCTTTCACCAGCTGGACACTCGGATCCAGTCGTCCTGGTCCTCCTCGACATTGTTTTCGCCTGCCCCTAGGCGCTGACAACTGGGAGGAGGCGCTGCTGTGTTCTTGTCTGATTTGTGGCCCGTGACCACCCTGGGAGGTGGAGGTGATACACTCATTTTATATGAAGAAAGTCTGGCGGGGCCGGGGAGTGGCAAAGCCAGGAGCGGGCCACGCGGTCCTTGAGTCCTGGTCCAGTGCTCATTCCATGGGCCCAGGGTATTGCTCTTGGTGCAGGCTCCAGGCAAGGCAGATGTAGTTCTTTCTGTTGGTGACCTGAGCTGGGAGAAAATTCTGTGGGCTCGCTCTTTGTCAGGTTAAAGGGGCGGGGGTTAGAAGGGACGTATCTAATGTAGCTCTTCAAAAATGTGTCATGGTGTCTTCATCTGTTGCAGCTCGAGGCACTCTCCACACATCCCTGCTCAGAAAGCTGCTTCCTTTTCAGCCAGCAAGAACATTCACTTCCCAGGAGCCCCGGATAGACCTCCTATGTACAAAAGCATCAGCCCCCAAAGGTGTGTTATAGCAGTGCTCTGAGGAGATCCCAGGAGAAGCTACTGAAACGGGCAAAGCTCTTTAGAAATACAGCATAGGAGTTTAAGAAAACTTACAGGTAGAACTCCATCCTGGAATTTGGGGTGAATGTTAGAGCAGTGTGTACCGAGCAGAGAAGGGGAGCCCAGGGGGCTGTGTTAGTTCCTAGGGTTGGTGGAACATAGTACCAGACTGGGTGGCTTGAGCGACGGGAATTTATTCTCTTGCAGTTCTAGAGTCCAGAAGTCTGAAACCCAGGTGTCAGCAGGACCATGCCCCCTCTGAGACTCTGGGTAGAATCCTTCCTTGTCTCCTCCTGCCTGCTGGGGCGGCCATTACTCTGGTATTCCTTGGCAACTGCATGGCTCCAATCTCTGCTTCTGTTATCGTGGGGCGTTCTCCCTGTGCGTCTGTGTCTCCTCAGGGCATTTCCCACTTCCCATATGGACACTCATCACACTGAATTAGGGTCTACCCTAAATTAAAATGAAGTCATACCAGATTGGTGGGGGTGGGATTGGCTAATCCAATGACTGGTGTCCTTATTACATTAACCTGATTATACTACAAAGATCTATCTCCAAGTAATGCCATGTTTATAGATTCTGGGAATTAAGACGTCCATATGTATTTTGGGGGATGCAATTCAACCCATGATGAGGACTTACCTTTCTTTCATGGTTGTCTAACTGCTTGTATCTCCTCAGAAGCTAGAGAACTGGATTGGTGCACCACTGGCCACTGATAGGGGTCTTAAGAATTTCTCTCACTTGTTCAAATTACTATTGAAGTGTTTTCATTCATTTCCTCATTCAATCTGCACAGCATCCCTGGAAATGGGGAGGGGTTATGATTCTTTTAGGTGAAAGAAAAATGGGAATGCCATTTGTTCAAGACTGCTAGCCTTCAGACGAGTGGCCTTGGGACCATCGTGAGGCGTTCTTACCCCCACAGCCTGACCCCAAGAATGAGTCTCTGAGGCGTTCAGAAACCTGTCCAAGACCCCAGCTGGGAGACGGCTGCGGCGCAGAGTCCAAAGCCCATATCCCTTCCATCCCTTCTTATCTGGAGTGGACTTGGAATGTGACTCAGTCCTCATCGTGACCCTTGATGAAGGTGCTGGGAGCCAAGACCCAGCAAAGCCACTTCTCAAAGCCTCTGGGCAGTCAGCAGCTGAATCGTAAAGCTGGCGGGTGTCACTCAGTCTGCACTCCCCCGCCACCACCACCACTCACATGTCAGCGTTACCAGACAGCCTGGCCCCCTTTAAATGGCTGAAACACGTGTTTATCACCATCTTCTATCTTTTCGAACTGCTTTTCAGCATCCCTTCCTTTAGCAGAGTATATAAACTCAGCACTTTAGCTTTGGAAATACATTGGCTGTGCAGTCTCATGGCTCTTCAGCGGCTTACAGCGTATTGTTCCGTGAGCCCCTCTGTGCCAGTCACAGCCTCGCTGTGGGAAGCAGCTGGACAACGCCTCTGATGTTTATTTGATTTTCGGGGCTTTCAGGCAGTCCTGGCACCATACAGATTATAGGTAGTCCGTCGCATTGTCATCAGAAGCTACTAAAGTCTTCTAGAATGACCACGTTTCAGCGTCTAAACTACATTGCCTCTCGTACCCTATCCACTGTCTTCTGTGAGCCCCCGTGACCGTTCTGAAACGGGAACAACACGATCCCTCGGTCACTCAAGCCCTTTCCACCCTGAGACCCAACACGCATTGCCGTTTCCTGCCAAGGCTCTGATTTACGAGATGCGGTGTGAGTTCTGTGCTTCACAGACGTGGCTGGCTGCCTTCAGTGCACAGGGCTTACTGCTATTTTTTCCGCGTGACTAGATGGGTCACATTTATGGCCTACATTATCGCTTAGACACACCGGCACCTTCCCTCTGCACGGCACCGCGCTAACGAAGCATGAGCGCGTTGACAGCAGGCCCTCACTTGGCACAGTCCCGCGGAACTGCAAAGCCAGAACACGCTGATTTGTCCGTTTAGTGACCATGGCCCTGAGCAAACGGGGACTGCCTTTGCGATACACCGTGGATAAAGGATGTGACTGCAGTCGCTCTCATGGGTGCCCACTGAACACGGCGTGATGCTTGTCTGTGCAGGAATCCAGGCGCGGCCCACACGTGAGCGACTTTGCAGGAGCGGTCAGAGTACATACGGAAATGGCGGGATGAAGACAAGACCGCTAGAAGTTACGAGGCAAGGTGCTGCTGGAGCTCAGAGGAACGTGGTGAGTTTTCACCAAGGGCAGAAGAGTCAGAGCAAACTTAAGGAGATACTAACATTTGAATTGAGCTTGGAGGAGGGAGTGGATTTTAGAATACAGAAGAGGAGGGCCAGCTAGTGGCATGGTGGTTCAGGGAGCTGGATCCCACATGGCCAGCCATCTGGGATGTCCCTCACTGTCCCAGACCCAGAGGCCCAGAAAATAGATCAGGTACTTATGTGTGAGTCCCCCAAATCCTGAAGGGAGAAACGGTGGAGAAGGGATTGTGGCATGGCCAGCACTCATTGTGGGGGTGCGGGGTGCTTTTTCACTTTCCTTTTCTCTCTCTCTCCAGCAAGTGCCCTCTAGCAAATAAAGAAGAAAAAAAGAGGAGGAAGAAATACTGAAGGCGGGATGGGATGCAGGCGAGGAGGGAAAGCACAGGAGGGAGAAATTCTGAGCATCCCCAGAGTTGGGAAGTTCTACATGACGACTTTGAGGTGACATTGACCTCAGAGGGACTGTCTACCTCTAAAGTCTTCGGAAGCCAAGTGCTGTCACCATCATGGCCTCGTCTGATCCCCAAGACAAACACATGAAAGGCAGATACTGAGTGCAAGTCCCATTTTATAGGTGAAGAAGGTGAAGAAGCAGAGACTCGAAAGGCCAGGCTCGCGCCAGTGGCAAGGGGCTAAGCAAGGAGAAGAGCACAGGTTTCCTGGGACTGCCTCATCCTCTTTCCACGGGCAGCACTGGGAATTTGGTGCTTTGATGTTTTCACCAGCTCTGCTTTTCATTATCCAGGTTTACACAATTTTACAAAATTACTAATTATCACAGTTAACTTCTCTTTGAGGAACACCCATTGAAGGAAAAAGAAGAAAATTGACACAGGCACAGCTAATGTGACTTTTTTTTCCCCTTGCTTACGTATTTCCTCTATATTTAGTTTTACTCGAAAAATCATGTTGATTGGATTTTAGAAAACTGTTCCCCATAAGATTTTCAATTGTTAAAAAAATAAAGAATACTGCCACTAAAGGGGGTTTTCAGTGTGGCGCCAAGCTGTCTTCCATTTTGGTTGGATTTTCCTTTTGTTTAGCCAGTAATTACTGCAGGACTGCTAGCCTGGGCTTCTCCAGGCACAAGGGCTGAAGGGTTCCCTAAAGAATATTGCCTCCACGTTTGAACTCTTCCATCCCCTCAAGTTTACCATGAGCCTCACAAAGAAGCCTCTCCATCAATCACTTTCTGACAGATCAACACGGGTTTAATCCCAATCAGAGTACCCAAGAGCCAGCAAGATGAGACTGTCAGGAGGCCCACCCTGGCTGGTCTGAAGGCTTTGACCGAGTAAACACAATCTGAAAGGGCAGGGAGCTTGAAAGCAAAACTGTAAATGATCCCATCTGTGAGTCTTGGCTGATTATTCCTCTGGGGTGGACCAAAGAGGGCGAAACCAGAAGAGAGGGTCTCTCTTTGCTTTAAACAAAATAACCATACACTTCTAGCATCTTCCTCGTTTGGGGTATTTTCCAAGAGAAAGTTCATTAAGGAGACACGAAAGCATGTTATCCTAAGATCCATCAAAGAGGGGTTCAGTTTCAAAGCACAGAAGAAACACAATAGCATTGAAGCAAACTCCATGAATAAGATCTCATAGCCCTGAGATGCAAAAGAGAAGTAAGACTGGAGATTCGGATTTTCTTTTTCTGCCAGAGGGAGTATGCACTCATTGGAGAGAAAGAGAGAGGGAAAGAGAGAGTACCCCTTACCCCATGGGGCGTGATAATACCAAAATCCCTTCTCCATTTTTCCATCCTTTCAGGATTTGGGGCATGCATGCACGTGTACCCAGCATGTTTTTCAAGCCTCTGGGTCTAGGACTTGAACTGTGTAGTTGGCCGTGTGCGATCTAGCTGCCTTAACCCCCATACCACTGGCGAGGCCTAAAAACCAGTCTTTATTTAGGACAAGATAAGTGAGCCCTAGGAAAATAAGTATCTCTGGACACTCTCCTAGTTACACAGGGGCAGCTTGAAGTAAACATTCTGGAATGTTTGTAAACATTTGGGTTTCCTTTTCCATATTTTATCCTGTTGGCGCTAAACCTGAAAGGCTCAGAATTCCTCAAACATGAGTTTTACTTACAATGGTGACTCGTATTAACATGTATTGATCTAGAGGATATACAGAAACAGGATTAAGTGCAGATCAGGAGCCTAGGGATCAGCTCCCGGTGAAGAGAATGTAAACAGGCAGTGTCTGAGAGGTGGGGAGTGGGAAGGGCTCATTAGAGGTCTGGGCTTGGCAGTGGGGCAGCTTTGTGTCTCTCCTCATGCTAGGGAATGGGCTCCGATACTGGGAGCTTTAGCCAGGCTCCAGCTCTAGGGGTAGTCTGAACAGGGGAGAGTGTGTCTTCCTCTGGCTGCCCTGTTGGGTTAGGCACGCCAGCATGTCCCTTGGCAGGGACCACTCATTCAGGCCAGGGAGAGGGGTGCTTTTCCTTATATCAGATCTTTTACTGAGGAAACGGCAGCTGGTCTCTCCCTCCTTCAGGCATCTCC